GATTGCACACCTGACCGCCAAGGTGGGGCAGGCTGGGGCTGGGGCATGCTGTGCCCACAAGATGCTCCCATCCCTAGGATACCTTCATTTCCTCCCCTTTGGGACATTTCTCTCCTTCCCAGTCACTTACTTTCTCATTCTCCCCCACCTTCCTTCCCCCAGATGGTAGGAGACATTAAGAAGTATGTTCAACATATCAGCCTATCACCAGACTCAATCCAGAATGAAGAGGTGAGTCCCTGCACAGGGCCAAGGCTCTCTAAGATGAATTGTACTCCATTCCATGGTCCTGGGAGATGGGATGGAATAAGCATTGATTAAGTGCCTACTATACGCCAGGCACTGTGCTAAAGTGCTTTATAAATATGATCTTATTTGACCCTCACATCAACCCTTTGAGGGAGTTGCTGTTAGTATCCCCATTTTACAGTTGAGGAAACTAAGGCAGATAAAAGTCGTGACTTGCCCAGGGTTATATAGCTAGGATGTGTTTGAGGCAGGATTTGAACTCTGGTCTTCCTGATTCCATGCTCTATCCCCTGCACGCCTAGCTGCCTCTAATAGGGGATAATAGAAAAACAATCACTCATGTCTATATGGTGCCTTGAGGCTCACATCATCTTTCTGTACAACAACCCTGTGGGGCACATAGTGAGAATATTATCCCGCTTTTACGGATGGGAAAATTGAAGTTCCAAGAAGGGGACTGACTTGCTTATGTTCACACAGATAATAAGGGTTGGAGATGGGTCTCCAGACTCTGAGTCCAGTGCTCTTTCTTGTTGGGAATGGGGTCTAATAGAATTAGAAGTCAGGCACCAGGGTTAAGAAAACCAGAGTAATCTGCCGGCTGTGGAGAGGCTGGTCTGGAAGGGAGATTCACACCCAGTCTACGGTCTGCTAGGATGGGCAGGCAGGAAACACCTCCCCCCAGAGATGGTGATTCCTGTTCACCGGGTCTTCCCTCCGTCCCTCTCTTCAGGCGATAGCCCCTCTCATGAAATATCTGGATGACAAGCTGATTCTTCTCAGTGACTCACTGGTGAAGGAAAACCTCTGCCGGTACTTCCAGGGCTCCAGGGGTGGGGGGCTGTGGAGGGCTGCAGGTTTAGAGCCGGACGAGCCTTTAGGGTTCTCTGTAAAATGTGGGACTAGGAGCTCCTTGAGAGGAGGGATACCTTTTGCCCTTTTTTGAATCCCTAGCGCATAGCACTGGCACACAGTCGGTGCTTAATAAATGTTTCACTTGACAGATGGGTTGGCTGCTGAGGTGCCTTCCAGCCCCAATGTCTGGTCTATGATTTAGTCCCACCCCCTCATTTTCCAGATACCAGGGAGAGGGTCCTTCTCCCCCTTGGCAGGGCTTTGATGCTGGAGACAGGGGATTCTGGACAGAAAAATGAGACTTTTTTGGGTGTGTGTACAATTGTGGCTATCCCAGGCACAATACATGACGGAGGGTGGGGTGAGAAGGTGTTAGGAAGTCTTGTTAAGGAAAGGCCAGTGATTTGAGGGACTTCCAAGGGCTGCCAGGTTAATGAGACAGAAGATGCCAGTTCCTTCTTCCCTAGTTCAGAGAGAGGACCTCTCTTTACCCTGCTGTTCTGCCCAGCTTGGGACATAGCCATGGTCATTGTCCTTGCCCTCCCACACAGCTCCTCAGGGGAGCCCTGTCTGCTAGTTTCAGCTCAGGGCAGATAAAGAAAGGAGAGGCCAGCTCCGGTGGGAATGTCTGTTTCCTCAACCCCCGGCCCCCTTCCACCATCCGCCTCAATACGTACATACACACTTTCCTGACCAGGGTGCTGGAAGCTCTCTGGGATCTGCTGCTTCAGGTCATTCTTCAGGCTCTGGGGGCCAACAGAGATGTCTCTGCTGAGTTCTACAGGAGGTTTTACTATACATTGGAGGTAAGTGGGATAGGGCTGGAATGGAGGGGGAGGGGCACAGCTCAGGCAGCCGCTGGAGACATTCTGGGGAGCTGGCCTGAAGCAGGAGGTCCTGTCCCCGGGTAAAAGATGCGCCAGATGGTAGGGAATGGTTCAGCTCACTATTGACTCTGGCATGCCTTTATTGAGCCATAGACCGGATTTGGTTCTAGGGGATTCAAGGGCATCACAGGGGAACAACTGAAGGATTCATCCTAAATTATAACTAAGAATTGGTTTCAATATGTCAACGGTGGCTCAAGGCTCGTAAGTGAGGACTACTGAGTTGTAACTAAAGCGAGAAAGATTCCCCTGGCCATAAGTAAAGCACTGGCTCCTGGGGCACGTGGGAGTAGCTGGGGCAGTGGTCCACTGGGGGGTATACGTGACGATGCAGCTGCCTCTTCAAAGAGGCACTGTCTGACTGCCCAAACTGAAGCCCGAGCCTCCTTTATCCATGGCGATAGGGACAGACATAGCTGTGGAAGAGTCCCATTCAACATTCTCCCCGCCGTGGGCCTGGGCTGAATGTCTGGGTCCTCCTGTGCACACACCAGCTGGAGGGCTGGGGAGGAAGTTCTGTGCACTTGGGTGTAGCACCCGGGGGTAATGCCCTCTCCAATTTATACCTCTCCTTTCCTCAGGCCTTGGTGGATTTTTTCCATGCGGAAGGGCAAGGGTTGCCCTTGGAGAGCCTGAGAGACGGACACTACAAGGTGAACCCTGAACAATGGGACCAGAGGCCTGTATTTGGAGGAGGGAGAAAGGGTTGGAGCAGAGAGGGGTGAGGGTGGGAACCTTTACTTAACTCCTGGAACTTGGTTTCATTGGGAGCAGTACCTGGTCTTCCTATCATCTCTAGCCTAGCCCCTCCCCAAACCTCCTGAAAGCTCTTTTCCCAGAGAACAGACTAGACCCTCTGGGTGCTGGGCAGCCTGGGGGCCACCTCCCAGTTGCCCTTCTAGCCTGAGCGATTTGCTATTGGCAGACCTTGGAGGAGGAATTACGCCTGAACAAGTGCTCCACCAATGAGTGCATTGAACAGTACTACCTGGACAAGCTCAAACAGGTAGGGTCCCCACCGCTGACCATAGCCGCTGCACAGCTGTTCATCTAGCCCAGTCTGGCTGCCCCAAACCTAGCTGACTGTTGGCACTGGGGCAGGGTGGGGGGACAACTCTCTCCCAGAGATCAATGGAGCAGAACAAGTATGGACGGTTGAGTGTCCGGTGCTACTACGAGGCGGCGGAGCAGCGGCTGGCAGTGGAGGTGCTGCATGCTGCAGACTTAATTGCCCTGGATGCAAATGGTGAGGAGGGGATAGGAGCCGGGGAGCAGGTGGGATGGGAGGGGGGCCTGAAGCTTGCCCAGTGCTTGAGGGAATGAAGGGAGATCCCAACAGACCAGCTGAGCTCAGCCTCCACCTCTTCCCTCTGCAGGCCTAAGTGACCCCTTTGTCATTGTTGAACTCTGTCCCCACCACATTTTTCCACTGGCCCGAAGCCAGAGGACCCAAGTCAAGACCAAGACCCTACACCCTGTGTATGATGAGCTGTTCCACTTGTGAGTCCCGAGAAAAGGGCTGGGATTCTCTCTGCAAGTTCTTCTAGCTTTCTCTTTCCCCAGTATTAGCTGACAGGAATGGGATTGGGTGGTTGCATATGTTCTGGCCAATCAGACCCTTTGGAGTCCCTCAAAATTTGTCCTTGTCTGTTTCAGGGTCTGCCCAGCCATGGTGAGACCCTAATGATTTGGTTAAATCACTCTTGGGATGGAACCCCACTTGGGGTTCTGGTATGGCTATTTCCCCAACATGAAGCCCTAACCCAGCCACTTGCCTCCACTGACTTTTCTCTCCCTGGTTCCCCAGCTCAGTCCCCGCAGAGCTGTGCCGCCGTCGGGCGGCCTGCGTAGTCTTCACCGTAATGGACCATGACTGGCTGTCCACCAATGACTTTGCTGGGGAGGCTGCCTTGGCCCTGAGCAGCATCAGTGGGCTTAGCAGGCCCCAAGTGGGAAGCAGCGTGAGGAGCATGCAGCCCACTACTCTTCACCTCCGCAGGCCCAAAGCCAATGGTAAGGACCACTTCCCCCAAACCCTGGCCCCAGCTCATCCCTCTGAAGGTTGCTGGGCTTCCCCTAAGGGAAGGAAGTCCTAGCCCCTTGGGGAGACATGGGGTGGGGGGAAGGGGGAACCCTGCCTGAATCTGGTTAACCTGGCCTGGATAATCTCTCCCAGTGAAATCGGCACTGAGGATGCTGGAGGGAAGGATGGACAGAGAAGCACAAGAGTTTGTGAAGAAACTCAAAGAGATGGAGAAGAGCATGGGAGATGATTAAGCAGCTTTTCTCTGGGTGTGCCACACTCAGGCTCCCCTCTCCTCCCCGCCTCCCCCCCCCCATCTCTGCCTCTGGCTGCAATTATCTACATCAAAGTGTCAGAGTCCCTTTGGTCTTTCATCAGAAACTCCTGCTCAATGCCTTCTGGTGTAACCTCAGTGGGGGGGTCACCGTTTGTGATGTTTCTCCTTGTTCAGCATTGTGTGTGCCTCAGCCGGGCACAACAGCTTTAGCCGCTCCTCGTTCAATTTTGGTTTGATGCCTTTTCTGTGAACACCCCCTGGGGCCACTGGGGCCCCAGTCTCCACCTGTCAGTGACAGCTATTGCCCTTTCCCTCCCCTCTGCTTGGAGACCCCAAAGTGCCACCCAAATGACCCATTCAAGCAATTGTTAGAGCATTTAGGGGGTGATTGATGAGGCTTCAAGGTAAGCAGGTGGTACAGGCTGGGAACCAAGGGGGTGGAACGGAGCTACCAAATTCTCTAAGCCTGCTTCACCTAGCTCTGCAGCAATCTGATGAGCGCAAAGGACAGCGCCCACTGCCCATTTACTCCCCAGCTCCAGACAATCTCCACCCCAATCACAGAAGAGACTCTCTTCAAGGAAATTCAATTCAGTAGCCCATTTATATCACAGGGGCCCGAAGACGGTTATCAGACCTGAAGCAGGCTAATACAGCAGAGGGAGGCCATTGTGTACAGCTGGCTGCGATCTTATCTAGGACGCTCTGCTGGGAAAGGCCAGGGACAATACCAAGTTTAATGGTCCTGAAAGGTCACAGGTTAGAGCTGGAAGGGCTCTTAGAGATCATTTAGTACAGCCCCATCATTTCACAGATGAGGAAACAGAAGTATTTAGATTTGCCTCAAGTTACACAGCTAGTAAAAGAAAGAGATGGGATATGTACTTGTAGGGTGACTGGTCCTCTCACCAAATCTTTCACCCTAGTGCGGAGGAGAGTAATTTCCTTTGTAGAAGACTGATTTCCTATGGAGGATGGGCCCCCGAGAAAGGTTCTTTATCATCTCACTGGGCACTCAGCACCAGTGCTGTGTTTTCCCTCTATAACCTCTAGTTGTATTTTGCAATCCTGTGAAAATATGCCTGGTCTAAAGAGGGCTCTAGCCTTTAGGCCACAGAAGACCACTTGCCTCTCTGCTCTTAGCCTAAAGAGCTTGTCTGCAGCACTTACAGATTCCAGAGCAAAAGCCCATATTCCCTTCCAGTTCCAAGCCCTCACAGTTAACAGTCTGGACTGCAGAATTCCCACTCAAGCCTCGTCTTCCCCCGCCCCTCTTATGGCTGACCTCAGTCCTCAGGCAGAGACTAAAGCTCCAGGATCCAGGCCTGCTACTTTCTAGAGGACTGCTGTGCCACGAGGAAACGGCACCGCGATATTATCCTATAACAAAGGCTCCTAGGATGGAAACACCCATAAAATCAGACTCACAACAGGCCCTCTGGGTTCTCAGCTTCATTATGATAGCTCAAAGGCAGATTCTTCACTCCACCTAAAATTTCCATCACTTCAGCTGAGTTAAAGGATGGGGAAAACATTAAAAGAGATGAAAATGTCCAGTTCTGCAGTTCCTGAGTAGGGCTAGCACAGTTCACTAATTCTAAGTTCCAACAAATGAATGGGTCTCTATGGGTCCAGTTAATCCATTTCTAGGTTTGTCAACCATGTTTGGAAAATACAGCTGTATTGAGCACTAGTCAGTCTCTTTGTCTTTTCTTGATTCCTTTCCAAACATCTGTGTTCACTGTGGCAGACAATACCTTTCCCTTCTTTTCACCAAGGCTTTCATCATTACTGCTGCCTTCCTCTTCCTCTTCCTGTTCCTGTTCCTCATCCTCATTCTCCTCCTCTTTTTCATAATCTCCTTCACTCTCTGATTCTTCTTCACTGCTGTCATTAGTCATTCTGGAAACAAGGAAGGTGAATGGTTGATATGCAGAAAAGCAAAATTAACAGCGAAGTCCCTGGAAGATCTTAAAGAGTCCAGGCTGAGGTCAGCCATACACCAGACAACCCTTCAAGCCCTTCAGGGGTAAGAACAAAATCAAAGAAGAAAAACCTACCTGGCAGGGACCACAAGCCTATTAGGATTTGAGAATTCTCGACCTGAGTCCACATCAAACGGATCTAAAAAGTCAAAGCAGAGTGAGCGGGTAGTCAAAAATTTCTGCCCCACAGTCAAGTAGGAAGTTGTTGACCTTTGTTCAATTCAACACAACAACATTAAGGGCCTACTATATACAAGGTATGCTAGACAATGGAGATATAAAAACATAAATGGTTGGAAATGTTTCCTTCTGTTGGAGAAGGGGGGACATGACATGTACACATAGAAGGACAGTACAAGGAAAGTAGACAAGGGCCTTTTGTCCCACTAACTGCTGAAGTTGGAGAGATGATCAAATCAGGGAAAGCCTCCAAGAAGAACAGGAAGATACGGATTCTAAGAGGTGGCAACAGAAGCAGTGCATTCCTGGTATGGGTGATGACTTGTATAAACACACAAGCAGAAGATGGAATGCAGAGTTCAGGGAACCACGAGCAGTTCAGTTTGTTTGGAAAGTAGAATTAAAAAACAGGAATAGTAGGACAGAAACATGGGTGGGAGCCAGGAAGGGCCTAAATGCCAGACCCATTAGTTTGTATTATTTCCCATAGCAAGGTGATATTTTAATAAGAAGGATGTCAATTAAGCCCCAAAAGAATAGGTTCAGATGAGGGTGTGTGGAAATTGTCTGGTAAGAGGCTACACTACTGTGTCCAAGATGGCCAGGCCCCATGGAGGCAGAGGAATCAGCGTGGCCTGACAGAGCTCACCTATTTCCTGCTCAGGTTTCTCGGTAGCACCAGCCAGAAACTCCTTTTCAACCCGTAGCACATCTTCAGGGCCACTGCAGGCTGCATACTTGTCTAGGAGCTGACCATTCAGGTCCAAAAATCCCTTCCCCCATTTGAATTTTCGTAACAAGATGATGGCAAGATCAGAGAAGCCTGCCATTTAAGAAAACAGGAAATCTCCAAACACCATTCACCTTACCCCAAGTACCCTAAAACCACCCTATTGAAATGGGGGCCCACCAATGACCACAGCAGCCCTCCCTTTCACCAACCAGACAGGGAGAGTTCTTCATTTCAGAACTCACCCAGAATGCAAAAAGTGGCAGCAAAGGCCTCCACACAGGACAGCCTGCAGGGCCGCCCATAGTTGACAGGGTTAGCAGCCACCAGGTAGGGTAGCAAACGAAGGTGAGTCCCTCGCATCTTTCCAAATGGAGTTTCTTCTAGTTTGGCCCAGGAGCAGTCAATGACTGCAACTCCACACTGAGCTACCAGCTGTCTACAAGACAACCACAACAGGGGTTGACTCATCCCTGGGTTACAAGAGACAGGTTCCTCACCCTCCCAGGCTCCCCAACAAGCTAAAGTCAGTCAATGAGGGAGGTTTCCTGTCCAACATTTGACCCCTCCCTCCACGGGACATGATGTGGGGCTACCACTTGTTATTCAATGGCTCTAGTCTAATCAGGTAATTCCAGAGCAACAGCCATTGCTTCAGACTGCAATGCTAACCCTTAATAGAATCAACAAATCACAGCCTTAAAAGCTCTCTGCTGACCCTATTAGAGGAGACCCTGTCCCAGACAAATTCATAGCCATACTTATCTGCCGGTGATACATAGTGGGTGCCCATGGGGCTGAGAATAAGGCCGTTGAACCTCTGATTCAGTCGGAGAGTTTGAACAAAACCTTGTCGGGCCAGCTTCCTGCCAGTGCATTTCCGGGGGTCACAGTGACCCAGTTCCCACATGGCCAGGGGGCAAGGCAGTTCCAGCTTGGACGAGGCACCTTCAGCTGAAGCATCTTTTTCTATAGAGGCTGCACACACACAAAACAGAGCTCAGATACCTGCCCCTTCAGTAGTGCCACAGAAGGATATTTTTGGAAAAGAAAGGGGAAGGGAAGGCTGTGGAGCCTCCCTCCCTCCCCTTCCCATCCAAGAAACAGCATGGCTTGGTGGACAGGACATTAGACTTGGAATCAGGAGGAATTGGGTTCAGTTCCCACCTTTAACACTAGTAGTGTGGCTCTGGGCAAGTCAATTTTGTCAGGTACAAAATGGGGTGGAGGGGAAGGACTGAGTGCGTTTTAAGGTCCCTTGCAGTTCTAAATTTATGATCCTATTGCTGACCCATATCTCTGCTTCTCTGTTTCCTGTAATTCTGAGCCTCTCAAACCCTTTGAACATGATCAAAATCAGTTCTCCACTCCCTCTCAATCCTACATGCATTTATAGGATCATAGATTCAGAGCTGGTAGTCCAGGATTCTTAACCGTTTTTGTGTCCTTTTTGGTAGGCTGGTAAAGCCTCTTCTCAGAATAATGTTTTTAAACACATAGGATTACAAAGGAAACCAATTATATTTTTTAAAAAGTCCCGAGACCCCAGGTTAAAAACTGATCTAGTCCAACCTTTTTATTTAACAAATAAAGAAATGAAGGCCCGGAGAGGTTAAGTGATTTGCAGGGGGTAGTAAGTGGCAAAGATGAGAGTCAAATTCGGGTCTCCTGACTTCAAATCCTGAGTTTTTCCCAGCACACCATTAAGAACATTCCAAAGCAAACCCGATGGAGAAATCAAGTGGGATGGTTTTGGGCCACACCACCCCAGAGGCATCCTCTCAGCCGTGACAAATCATTTAACAAGCACTGTAACAAACCGTGGAGCAGACCAGGCACTTGAATAAAGAACCGTCCTCATAGAACTCACATGGGGGGGGGGCGGGGAGGGACCTGCCCACGACCCCAACCTTGTGGTCCATCGCTGCAACTTTCTGGGTCCAAGTTCACCTCATTCCAACCCCCCTTCTGGAGCTTCGGGCCCCTCCCCGTCCCTTCGGCCGGTCTCTGAGGAAGCCCTAAGGGCCACTCCATCCCTGACACCCCAGATACCCTCCTCTCCCCCTCCCACCTCAGTCCCTGGGTGCAGCCCTACGGTCCCAGGAACCCCAGGCCTCGCCACCCCCTCGGGGCATCCTTAGGGGACCCCCCACCCCTGTCCCCGGGGATCCACGCGCCGTCCCATCCCTGGGACCCTCTGTAACCACCGGCCCCGGCTCACCGAGAAGCGCCGCCTCCACCTCCTCAGTGAAGCTGTCCAAGGAGCGAGCGGCCCGACAACAGCCTTGAGACCGCCGCCGCCCACCCCCTTTGGCCCCCTCGGGGCCCGAGCCCCGAGCAACCTTCTTCCGGCCCATGGCGGTACAGGGGAGGCGTGGCTAGGGAGAGAAGCGCTTCTCCACGTCCGGCCCCACCACCGGAGCAGGCGTGCGCACGCGCGCCAGGGCGCCGTTTCCGGCTCCGCGGCCTCACGTGACTGACTCCGTAACACGTGATGATTGTTTCTCAGTAGCGCGAGTGCGGAGGACCATGGAGCTGCTGCCCGGGCTGAGGCTGAGGCTGGGGCCGGGGCCGGGGCCGGGGCCGCGACCCGGGTCCGTGCTGCCGTTGCTGCTGCTGTTCTGGTTGGGGCCGCGCCGTAAGTAACATTCACACCCCGGGGAGCCCTGAGCTCCTCGGGCCTTCGCAGCCTCCGCTCCCGCCCCCAGGGACCCAAGCTCACTTGATTTCCTTCTTCCCCAGCCCTCGCCAGAGCAGGGAAAATGAAGATCGTGGAGGAGCCGAACACCTTCGGGTAAGGGACGGGCGTGTCCACCCCGCTCTGGGGCCGCCCTGGGCTGGCACGTTTCAGGGGGAGGAAGGCTTTGTCATTGCCGGAGAGGGAAAGTGACATGGGTCAAGTCCCTCAAGTAGGGGCAGGTCAGAGCTCGAAACCCAGTCTTCGGCTTCCCAAGTCCAGGGCGTTTTTATTAACACCGTACAGCAGTGCAACTTTGTCCGGGAAAATAAAGCCCTGACTGACAGGCGAAGAGAATACAAGATTCTGAGTTTGTCGATTGCAAAAACCAAGAACATTTGACTCCATAGAGCGAAGAGTCTTTAAAGACTGTCTTCCACTGTTTCCTGTACATACAGTAAGATCTTTCAAGATTCCTCTACAGAAACAACCCCCAGAGATGATATATTCAGTGCTATGATTATCAGTATCAAGTTAGGCATAAAACAAAGAGATTTGCTCATTAAATATGTCAGCGTAAGGCTACACCAACACATCCATCACAATGGATAACATTCTACTTCGAGTCCAAAGAGGAGAGATTTCCCATAGATGGTGAGGTTTGCCAGATCTCCATTCGTAGATGACCTTGTGTTTATTGAGTTAAGCCCTGGAGTACTCTAGGGCTTCTTCAGAGAAATCCAAAGCCACTTAAGAGAGATTATTTTTAGCACTCCATGAGGAGACACTACTCATGACAGCTGGACCTAGAATGTAGTAGAAGTAGATTTGGTCCTTCCTTTTAACACCTACAAGTAAGGCTCTTCATTTGTGAATTATGGAATATCCTTATCTTAGAAGCAGCAAAATAACAAGGAACCCAAAGAGAATTGGGAAGGTGTGTTGCAAGTGTAATTAGTTTGCAGTATATTGCCAACAAGACTTTTGTGCAAAAAGTTAATGGACATGCGTTGTTGAAGACCCAAAGGAGGGCATTCAATATATTGGATAGATCATCTCTTGATTTCAACAGACATCATTGTTTTATTTATTTGTATTTATATTGTGCTAGGCACTGGAAGATTCATCAAAAAACATCCATTTACTAGTTGTGACCCTGGGCAAGTCACTTAACAAAAAACAAAACAAAAAAACAAAAAACACATCCAAGAATCATCCTTTTTGAGAGGAGTTTGGTAGGTTGTGATGTATTTGTACTTTTTGGAGGGGGCATTAATAAGGTTAAGATGATGGATTTATGAAAGTAAAATGGGAATAACACTCATTTGCAGAATAGTTGTGAAAACTGTTCTGTAAACTGCTTACTAGAGAAAAATGAGCTGCTGCTGCTATCACCATTACTGCAGATATGTGCATGCTAAGCAACAAATTATCCCTTCTCCTTTGCTCAACTTCCTTTATAGGATGAGTTATACTAGATGATCTTGAAATGCAAGGGCTCTTCTGGCTCCCAAACTCCTTATTATGTCATTCTACCATGGTGGACTTGCTTCAACTGAGACTAGATTTTCTATGACATTTAAGTCACTGCTACCACTGTCATCCTTATTTGGCCTTGTGTTACTCAAGTCTATCACATCTCTCTCTGCCTCAGCAAACGTTTGGTAAATATATGTGTGCACCATGAGTGCTCTGAGGAGGGAGAATTGACTGGGCAGGAATAATATACTCTGAGAAAGCTTTCCTGGAAGAAGTGAAACTTCAGCTAGGCCTTGAACTACAAGCAGGATCTGAAGAGCTGGGAGGTGGTGGTGGATTCCAAAGAGGAGAGTTATCAAGGCAGTGAGCAGATCAGTTTTCTTAGCTTGCTGGCCAGCTTTGTTTATTTTCCCTGACAGATTGAATAACCCCTTCTTACCTCAGACCAGTCGGTTACAGGCCAAGAGAGACCCATCAGCAACCTCAGGTGAGTTATGGCCTGGCTCCCAGCTTTCCCCAGCCTGGTTAGGAACTTCCTATACCTTTCTCTTTACTCTTAAGAGGACATCAGGAAAAGGTCAAAGTAAAGGGAATGTAATACACATTTCATTCCAGCTTCTCTTCAGCTCAGACCAGCTGTGAGCCAAGCATTCCTCCTTCCAACTACTTATGGCTAGGCCTAGGATGTTGACCTGAGAGGTCCAGTATGATAGCCATGGCTAGGCCTAGGATGTTGACCTGAGAGGTCCAGTATGATAGCCTGGCACCAATCTTTATTTGTAGTTGGCCCAGTAAGGAAACGTCGGGGGGTGGCGGGGGGAAGGAGGTACTTCACCTGATGTGTGGGACATTCAGAGTTTGGGCACTGGAAACCATCTCTATCAGTCCTCCTGACTTTAGGAAAGATGTCCTGTAACTGACATGGGTTGGTGTGCAAGAACTACTGTATTTATTGTTATTTTTCATTGTTTGGCATGTGTTTCGCTTTATAGAAGACATCTTGAAAAAGCTGTTTGGGTTTTTTCTAATCAGTTTGTATTTTATATGCATGTTTAGAATTTGGTATTTAAAGGAATCCTGAGGTGAATTCTTTGAAATAGGTTAGCAATAAATTCAGATGCAGCATATGAAAATAGACAAGTCCTGCTCTAGGAGGCAGAAGACCTAGATTTGGGTTCTAATTTGAACTCTGATACTAACTTATATTATTTGAAATGATCACATCCTCTCTACTCTCCAACATTTACTCTCCTCTTCTGTAAAATGAGAAGGGTCAAACTGGATGACCTCATATAGTAATGATCCTTCCATCTCCAAAAGTTTTATTCCAATCCTTGCTTTTAGGAAAATCTTCCTGGGTTATTTGTGGCCTATTTAAACCATAAGCCAGTTTATCTTGCCTTTACCACCATCACCACTGTCAAAAACCCTTTTTTTGGGGGGGGGGGGCACTAGACATGGGGTTAAGTGACTTGCCCAGGGTCACACATCTGATGAGTGTTATGTGTCTGAGGCCAGATTTGAACTCAGATCCTCCTGACTCCAGGGCCAGTGCTGTATCGACTGTACCACCTAGCTGTCCCTCAAAAAGCTTTTACTGACAATACCTCATATGTGAAGGTTGCTATACTAATTACTGTTGGGTGTACAAACAGAAATGAGACTAGCTCCTTCCCTAGACTATCTGCCCTAAATATGTGTTGATACAGAGCACATATGTTAAAAAGATAAATAATAGTACTGGGTAGCTTATGCTGAGTTAAATGTGTAGTATGGACAGGAAGTACTATAGGCTTTTGACCTGAGTTCTGAAAGGTAGGTAGGACTTCTAAGTAGGAGGAACAGCATAAGCTAAGTTACATAGGGAGGAACATAGGGCAGCTAGGCACCACAGTGAACACAGTGCCAGGCATGAAGTCAGGAACACCCGAGTTCAAATATGACCTCAGAAACTTACTAGCTGTGAGACCCTGGGTGAGTCACTTAATCTGTTTGCCTCAGTTTCCTCATCTGTAAAATGTGATAATAGCACCTACCTCCCAGTGTTGTTGTGAGAATCAAACAAGATTCTTAGCACAGCGCTATATAAATGTGTGTATGGACGGATAGGTAGAGCCTATGCAGGGAACATCACGCAGTCCAGTCTACCTAGGGCAGAGGGTTCATACAGGAGAGACATGAAAAAAGGAGTCTGGAGAGTGTCACTCAATATTTAAACCTTGTGCTATGGCACTGAGGAGGTGCTGATTTTTGAGTAAGGAGAGACATATCAAAGTTGTATATTCAGAATATTCATCTGACAGGTTTTGTAGGCCGGCTAACAGAGGTGGAGACCAGGCTGTCACAGTAAGTGCATGAGAATGAGACCTAGTACTAGCAATAGAGAAGGTAGAGGAATATGATGTTGTGGAGGCAGAAGCAGCTGGAAACGGAGTGGATATGGAAGGGAAGAGTCCACAGTGAGGTTTCGAGCCTGGGCAAGTGGGTAAGAGATAGGGAGTTTGGGAGGTCAGGCAGGTCGGGTGTGGGTTAGTTAACAGGCTTAGTTTTTTAAATGTTAAGTTTAAGATGGCAATAGTGAATCAGAGTGGAAATGTCCAGGAAGAGACAGAGGAGAGAGGGCAAGGTCGGAGCTTTGGGAGTCATCTACATACAAGTGTTGATGGATCTCCAAAGGAGGCGTGAGGACTAAATCCTAGAGGATGCCCATTTGATTCAAGCTGAAGGAAAATATAGAGAAGGGACAATTGAGACAGGAGGGTAACCAATTAGTGCAGTGTTATGCAAGCCTGGGGAGGAGACCATATTAAGTAGATGGTTTATTCACTGGTTTCACATGTTGCAGAGATAATAAAGATGAAAACTAAGGGGAGACCGATGAATTTGTCAGCTAGGAGGTCTTTAAGTGACTCTAGGTTTCTGTAGAGTGGTGGGACAGAAACCAGATTTTAGGGGATTGAGCAGATAGGTACTGGGAAAATGTAGGTAGTGAATGTAGACTAATCTCTTTGATAGTGGGGGAAAAATGGAGACATCAGGGCTGGCAAAAGATTTTTTAAGATTGGGGAGACCTAAAAAAGGCTCCTTTTAACATCAAAACATTTAAGACACCACTCCTTCCCACCCTACCATAGAAAGTACATGACAAAAAGTTACTATGAATTTAGAACCCCTCTTAAATGAGTTTCTATTTTATTAATCACAACAGCATCACATGCATTTAAAAAATATTACATATATGTGAAACATTATTCAATCTACATTAGATAGATGTTTGTTCACTGTACTGAATCCCTTTAGGACAAAACTCAGAATCTTGTTTTTAGTTGACACTCAATAAGTAAACGGTCACATGTGGGAAAGCTCACTACCTTCCCACCTCCACCTCTGTTCCCAGAAGATAAGCTAGATCTAAGAGTTGAAGTGAAAGTTAAATTACATTCTCTTTTCCCCACCTCCTACTTAAGCCAGGTTCAGTTACATTAAAATGACACACTCTCTTCACGTCCCCGTGTCATGGGGCCAACGAGGCCTTGATGCTTGGCCTTCTCTAGAGGTAAGTGTGGGGAGCCCACCCTCTTGTTTTGTACAAAAGAAACTTTTCTTCCAGTCTTATAATGGGAAGTGAAAATGGAACAGAAACTAACATTTATTAGACATACTTACTAATCAACACAGGATGTTTTAAGGATGAACCTAAGTCAAGATCTCTCTTTCTCCCTTCCCCTCCCCTCAGGTCCTGCACATCTCTTTAGACTTTCTGGCAAGTGCTTCAGTTTAGTGGAATCCATGTGAGTACAGGGAATGTGACAAGGGGAAGTTCAGAACATTTACAAACATGGATATATTATGACCCAAGGCCCTTATGTCTCCTTCCAGGTACAAGTATGAATTCTGTCCCTTCCACAATGTCACACAGCATGAACAGACTTTCCGTTGGAATGCCTACAGTGGAATTCTGGGGTGAGCTCACTGGCTTTTAGTCTTGTTTTTTGAAAGAACCTCCACCATTTCTAAAACTTGTTAGATTCTTGTTCAACATAAATGGTGAGGTGATCCTACAGACTACCTTCTGACAGTAAGAAGCTGCCCATTGCCTCCTTTCCCTCACCCCCAAACCATTTTGTAGATGGAAAACTAGAAACTTTGTTTATCTGTAAAGTGGGGATAATAATATCACAGTGCTTACCTCATGAGGCTGCTCAGATGAGATAATATATGTAAAACATTTTGCAAACCTTGTATATAATGCATGCCCATTGTTACTGAGGGAAAGCAGTGAGAGCTAAAAAAGATTTTAAAGTCCATTCAGCTAATTCTCCGTGTAGCTACATGGTTCAGTGGATAGAACACTAGGCCAGGAGTCAGGAAGACCTGAGTCAAAATCCGGTCTCTGACATTTACTAGCTGTGTGACCTTGAGCGAGTCATTTAACCTGTCTTTTCTTAATCCACTGGAGAAGAAAATGGTAAACCATTCTGCTATCTTTGCCAAGAAAACCCCATGGACAGTATGAGTTGGACATGATTGAACAAGGCTAATCCCTTCACTTAGAGAAAGACTGTGAGTCTTAGAAGAGAACTGATTTGTCCAAAACTGCAGTGTTCTACCATACTGTCTTTTTGGTATGATCCTAGATATAGGGCTCTTGAGATGTTTTAAAAGGAATTTATTTATTATTATTATTTTTTTTAGGCAACTTCGGTTAAGTGACTTGCCCAGGATCACACAGCTAGTGAGTGTTATGTGTCCAAGGCCTAATTTGAACTCAGGTCCTCCTCACTCCAGGGCCAGTGCTCTATCCACTGAGCCACCTAGCTGCCCCTAAAAGGAATTTAAGCATCACCTCTTCTGGGTAAATTTTTAGCAGTTTTGTTTTGGCTGAGTCATTCATTGTGGTAGCTTATGTTAGACATAACTCATTTTGGTGACTCTTAGTTTTCATGGATTGGTGTAAGTATTGCTTCTTGAGTAGTAATGGGTTATATTTATTCTTTCCCAGGATTTGGGATGAATGGGAAATTTTCAACAATACATTTACTGGCATGTGGATGAGAGAAGGAGATTCCTGTGGGTCTAAGAGCAGGCAGACAAAGGTACTTACTTGGTGCCCAGAACAGTGTATGCTAAATGAGGCAGGATTTGATGGGGTCTTTGTCCCTCCCGAGTCCTTTTCTTTCTTTCTTTCTTTCTTTCTTTTGGGACAATGTCCTGAAAGGGCTTGAATTCCTCTGCTTCTGGGATTCCACAGGGCAGCACCAACCACAGGTATTGTTGAGCTCTTCCTGTGGAGGAGTGTTTTGAAGGGAGAGACACCCTCCTCCTTCCTTTAGTTTATTTTAGCTCTAGCTAACTAAGGAATGTTGTTTATAAAACCAGTTAAGAGTTTTGCAAGAAAACTGGGGGTATACAACTGCAAATGACAGATACAGCAGGAGAGATTCAGTCTACAGTGTGCATCCCTATCTAGCAAATCTACATACATATTTCAAAAGCCAATAAATAAATGCCTTGTGGGTAATGTTTTCTATTTTATATACTCTCTTTAGGTGGACCTTGCCTGTGGAAAAAGTCATAAACTGGCCCGAGTGTCTGAACCAAGTACTTGTGTTTATTCTCTAACCTTTGAGACACCTCTGGTTTGCCACCCACATGCTTTGTTAGGTAACTGGTGTAGGTAACTGGTGTTAGGTGGGATATGAAAGGAGACTGGGGCCTCCCAAGCTTAATGACTAAGACTAGATCTCACAGCCTTTGTCAGAAAGCCATGTTCTGAGATGGACTTCTGTAAGCTTTCGTGATCACTGTTCCCCTTTCAATAGCTCTTGTCCACTATAGTAGTTGGGTAATTACTGGATACAGTTGTAAGCCTAGTGCTTTTCCCTCTAGTGTATCCAACCTTACCGGAGAATTTACAGCAGAAGTGGGATAAAACAGAGCAGTCTCTTGCTGATGAATTAATTACCCCACAGGTAAGAGAAAGCACTTGAGTGGTGGCACAAGTGATGTCAGATGTGTTCCATATCATCTCCTGGGTTTATTAAATTTCTTTTGTTATTTATTTGAACTTTGTAACTATCGCTAAACTGAGCTGACTCTGGGGATTATTCTTTGCACTTTGTTTCCTCTTCCTCTAAACACAGGGATATGACAAATTGCTGAAAGAGATATTTGAAGAAGCAGGCTATTTAAAAGTCTCAACTGAAAAGGCGGCTACAAATTCAGAGGGAGATGTCAAGAGTCCTGAGTTTGAAACCCTGGAGAAATGTAATAAGGTACATAGAGTACAGAGGTGGGTGGGGCAGCCAGGTGGCACAGTGGATAGAGCACAGGGCCTGGAATCAGAAAGATTCTTCTTCCTGATTAAAATTCAGCCTCAGACAATTACTTATCTTACCCTGGGCAAGTCACTTAACCCTGTTTACCTCAGTTTCCTTATCTGTAAAATGAGCTGGAAAAGGAAATGGCAAACTATTCCAGCATCTGCCAAGAAAACCCCAAATGGGGTCACAAAGAGTTGGACACAAGTGAAACGACTAAATAACATAGGTGGGTTTAAGGGGTAGGGAGCAAAACATGAATCCAGGTACTTAGGGTCCTGCCACACCACCCCATGAATCTTTTGCACAGATACTGCCATGTGTAGTTACTGGTAGAAAGGAAAAAATGCAAATGTGAAGAAAGACTGTAGGTAAATTTTGCTCTCCAGAGGATGTTATTGTCTAGAACAGTGAGTTTATCGTTTGTGGCTAACTTGGATCAAGAGATTATCTTATCAAATCCATTTTATAGTTCAGAAAACTGAGGCCCAGAAAGTGTCAGTGACTTGCCCCAAGGGCATACAGTTAATAAGTGGCAGAGCTGGGATTAGAACCTGGGTCCTCTGACTCCAGACACAGCATCTGCCTTACTGAGCTACTTCATCCATACAAGGAGCCAGTCCTCAGATCACTCACAACCAGGCCCATGGATTCAAAACCTTTCCATCTTGGAACAGGACATAAGTATGGCCCTTCAAGAAGCCAGCTCCAATCCATGGCCTATTATATAAAGCATCTGAGGAGGATTTTTGCTCTTCTTAAAGTCTGTAAATGTGTGCCCTCAAGGGTTGGGAAAGAAGACCATAGAGCATCTTGGACTGGGAAGCATTAGTTAATTTAGGGACCTTAATTGTAGATTAGGAGAGGAGTGATTCCTCTAGCACAACAGCAGTATGACAATCGGGTGTACTAGGCACCTAGTTGACACTTTAGATAGAGCACCGGACTTGGAGTTAGGAAGACCAAGTTCAAATCCAGCCTTAGACACTTACCAGCTGTGTGATCTTGGGCAAGTTACTTAACCTCTTTATGCCTCAGTTTCCTCAGCTGTAAAATGGCAATAACAATACTAACACTCATCTCCCAGGATTGTTATCAAGACCAAATGAGATCATATTTGTAAAGTGCATAGCACAGTGCTTGTCATATATTAAGTGCTTAATAAATGCTTCTTCCTTTCCCTTCCCTCTGCTCTGCCTAACTAGTTAGCCTTTGAGGTGGTGACCACTAATCCCAATCTAGTGGTAGCAGGGTGAGGAGCTTAAGTTTGAAAACAGAGCTTCTATATTTGAATTCCAGCTTCTCCATTTACTGTCTGAGACTTTTGGGCAAATCACTTAACCTTTTGGGGGCTTCATTTCCTAATCTTTAAAATGAAGATGTTTTGAGAGTATGAACCATAAGATCCTTTCCAGATCTTAATCTATGATCTTTATGTAATTTTCATTTTAGGAATATGAGGAACTTTCCAAAGAATTAAAAAGACTGAAAGACTTGCTAACTCAGAATCACGTTGCATACACAAAGCAGAGAGGTACGTTTGTGTGTGCTCTTCAAGCATTCCCTGTATAACTCTTGTTGCAGAACAGGTTTGATCCCAATGTGCAAATTATATACAAATTTAACAAACATTAATCACTTCCAATTCTGTGTGTTCTGCTATCCCTCCATCACTTCTGGGAGGTAGTGGGAAGCATATTCTGTGGAGGAAAATGAACTGTGCCTGCTATTTGGTATCTTGGCAGAAAGCACCAGGGCTGAACATTTGGATTATAAGACACCTGCAACCAGCTCCCCAGTCTGGAGTAGTATCAGGCCCCCAGAGCATCTTCGAGGAGATACTGGCCTTCAAAATGACCTCTTGTGACTGTTCACAGGCGGAAGGCCTAAAGATTCTACGTTGATTTATACAGACATGATACACATCTTTGTATGGGAGAGAGGGAAGTAAGCTTTAAGGTTGCTTTGGTGCTCCCAGGGGACTGAACCCCTACCTACTAGACCTAGTTCCAGAAAACTATCTCCTCTCTTTCATGGACACCCCATCGTTTCATCCAGGGAAACCATGATGTAAAAGAAGAGGACCTTGGAGACCAAGCAAGCTTCCCTGCCCACTTGTGATGGAGAGAAAAATCAAACAGTGAAACCAGGAAGAGGAGCAACAGGTCATAGGGTAAGGCTGAAGCTCTTTGGTGCTAATGAAAGCTTAAGGCAAAGAATAAAAAACACTACAGGGAAAAATAAATACTTTGTATATTAAAGGCACTATTTTAAGTATGGAATACCCTATAAATAAATAAATGAATAAATGAATGAAGTGACATATTAATGGAGGAGGAGCTGGTTCCTGGACTAGTTTTCAGTACCTTACCTGCATAACCACCTCAGCTCAGAAAGGAGGGCCCTCTCTTTCCTAAATCTGGTTGACTTTTCTCAATGAGACATAGGACAAAATAAAGATTCAAAATTTTAATTCCCATACTGATAATAAAAATAATTCCATGAATTCTGTAAACCATTGCATAAATGCTATAGTGTAAAAAAATTTAACAAGTGTTAACAATTTTAAACAATTCATTACAAGTAAATGATTATGCATTATAAATACTACCTTCTGGGTTAAGGAAATTCCATTCACAATAACATTCTCATCTAAACACTCAAACCATATTAGCGGCTTTCATAAATTAATACATATGAAAAGTCCATATTGAATTAAGGTCTTATGCTGACCACAGTTACACAAATATATTGTGACAATATTACTACCAATATTTAACACTAGATAGTTGAAAAAGACAATAGGCAACAAAAATGATGATGGAATAATTTGAACGTATCTATAAACACACGGCTCAAGCTCCTTTTGAAATCAGCACTCCACTTGTAGAACAAGAGTTCTTTACTGTGAAACCCACCCTGAGACACTGTGATCTCTCTACTCTCTGGCTACTTCAATCCACAGAGAACACGGGGACCTGAATAGCATTCATTTCAAAAACTCTCTATTGTTCTTTGCCACATGGTCATTTTGTGAGCTGTTCTTCCCTCCATGTACTGGGGTGATTCAACGTTATAGAACTGGGAACAATGAGCAGACTATATTTAATATTGTTGTAACTGTCTTACATCTGTTAAAACAATTTCTCTTTAGCAGGTTTACTCAGGCCAATGAAACCTGTAACATTCCCTTTTGAGCATATTTCCACTAAATGTAACAAATGTACTTTCCAGTATTAAAAATATCACTTTGGAAAAGACTGGAAATTGCTCTTGTGGAGGTCCCATTATTTCTAAGGAACTGAAACACGAATATAGACTTAAAGTGGCACAGAGAAAGCATCTTTCTTTTTTATGTAAATGGTTCATTCAGCACACCCAGGGAACTTGGCAGAATAATAGCATGTAACAGAGGACCAGGCCCCTTACTCTGGGAATTTCACTCATAGGTACATTTCTTTGGTCTCTCCTTTTTCCTCCCAGTCTTTTAAAAACTCAAATTTCAGTCTATGATGAGCACTACAGAAACATATGGACACACACCTGCAACTCTTCTCACACTGAAAAACTATCAGTGATTATTCCTACACAGAGAGCCAACACAGGTGTTTACTACCAGAAAATCCAGGCCCTATGCCAAATGTGCTTCTTAATATGGTGGGCCTTTGGGAAGAGCCCAGCCCCTGTCTTCTCCTCACTATGTGAAGGAGATACCATGGGAATGTTAACCCTGGAGATAAGTCATCTCCCAAGAATTAGCCAAATTCAACAAAAAGAACTGACCACATTAGCTTATGAAGATCTAAAGCTTAATTGTTCTAACTCATTCATAATTTGAAAAGTCAATTATAGACAATAAAACACTGTCCTGTTACTCCAAAAAGGCCAAATAAAAGGCCTAAAATGAGAAACAAGTGCATAAATATTAATAAAAATAAAGAATTTTAAACAGTGATAACAGTAGCACAAAAATATACTTAATGTCTAAGTACTGAACTAAAAGCATTGAGGCCTATGACCACTTTTTAATATAAATTGGAATCATCTCACTACAATTAAAAACAAAAAACCTTCACTAAAAACTAAGTACATAGTTACCTTTGTTAGCACAATAGCTGCAGAATGTTGTGGTGCCACATTCTATATTGAGATAATAATAAAACCATTGTCTAAAATCAGTTGTATGTTTTAAAACATTTTTAAAAATCAAAACATATACTACCTTACAATACATTCTAATTTGGTCACTGTTAAAAATTCTTACCTAGTCACTCTGCACTTTTTAAAAATGCTATTAATGTTGTAATAAAAGTCTTTGGCAAAGCCCACACAAATATAGAAGTCCATTGATATTCACAGCAAAGCTTGGTTATTCAAGTACCACTTCATTTCTCCTGGCCTTCCCCACTTGTCTCCCCAATCCCAATCTTCACTTGGTAAAACCAAAAAAATGCTCTAACTATAAGCAGCACCTAGACCTGTCTGGAGGCAGCAACCTGCTCTGCTGAGAATAAAGTTAGTCTGGGTAAACTGAAGCCATTTTTCTCAAATGTTTAATATGTAGGGAAAATGTCCAAATCCAGACCAGTTACAATGAGAGTTTCATCAGAAAATATTCTAATATTTTGTCCAGATCTTGATGTATAAAGGCTTCTGGTTTTGTTCCCCAATCTGCACCCTCAGCTTATTACCACAGGAGTTTTGATTTATATTTTCTCCCTGGCTTATAACTGACCTTGCTGTAGCTTTTTGTGCTGAAAAGACTTACTGGTGAGGGAGAAAAAGTCCAGGCTCAAGCCCGTCTCCTCTGTCACTAAACTCCTTCCTTCCATCCACCACATAAATGTCCAGAGCATCCTGACTAAAAAGGTGCTAGCTCTAGTCCCTGGTGAACCATGTTCTTAGGCTCATCCTCTAGGCCAACCTCCTGTCCAGGGTCCAGCTCTTGGAAATGTTCTGATTCACACAGCCAGATGCCAAAGTCGAAAGGGTGTGGTTAGTCTGAATTTGTTCATTTTCAAGACTTTTTTTTTTTGCAGAGATTAAAATAAACTTTGCTGGTCATATGAATGAACTTCTTAGGTTGAGAACAATAATTGAACATACAAATTAGGTAACACAGTAGAAGGTCTTTTCAATGTCAGCTGTACCTGTGTCACACTCATATTTGTAGAATAAAACCACCATTGTTAACATTTTCCTATACCAAATGCTAATTCTATGAAAGTAACAAAATACAGTGTTAACATACAGTAAATGATTTCTCCTGAATTGCATACTCCCAACGGTCAGTGTTAAATATGAATGACTATCAACATCTCTAAAAAAATTACAAAGCACCATTGCCTGATTAAAGACCTAAATAGTTTGATCACCAGAACATAGCTGTGTAGTTTAATTTAATTTTAAAAATTCTAGTGTCACATCCCTTACAAGATATTATATTGAGTTGCTATCATTACAGAAAGGTAAGGATTTTTGTTAGTATCAAATTGTCTTGCACATTTTTAAGGGATAAAAGAACAAAACAAAAATATAAGCTGTTTCCTTCAATTCTTTTGCAAGGTATATAGGCACTTGGAAAAAGTGGCCATGGATCATATAAATGCATGATAGATCTCTCTTAAAATCATTTCATCAGGATTACAAAACTCCAATTAGAATATGTGCAAATGCACATGTTTAGGAAAATTAGTTCCTTTCATAAAATTAAAAACCTATCTAAATGCTTAAGTATATGTGCCTTTCAATAATCACTCTCTTTGCTTATAAATACTATCTGTTTGCACTTAATTTGAAAACTGTAAAAATCCTAGGCAAGTTTTTCACTACTAGATAAATGTTCATTTAATAAGTACTAATTTCAGAATATGAAATCTAACAATATATTTACCATACTATGATTTAACAATAATAAACTGATATGAAATATTTTAAGTTCACAGTACACATATAAAGCTTCATATTATCGTATATTAAAAAAACATGAAACCTAGAAAGCAGCTTAAAGCAATTTAAAACAACATCATAACCTCTAACTAAACCCCCTGGTTAACAAAGTGCTTTCACAAGAATCAAACTTCTTCTAATAACCTAGTAAACAGTAGTGTTAGACTGATTCCAAAATACTGGCATGATTTATAACACACACACACCAACAGGTCATGGATTAGAATGCTCCGAGGGACATTTTTCAATGAGGTTGGCTATCACGTAACAGAGATACTTCCATTCCCCACTGAACAACATTCGGAATAGACACCGTGTCTATGCTTAACTCAGAATGGACTGAGCAGATGAATTGGTTCTGTGTATTTTTAAGGGTTCTGAAGATCAAAGTAGCCATGAAACATCAGGACATGGTTGGTAAAAAAAAACAAAAAAGTCAATATGTAAAGGCAGTCACATAATAGTCATTAAAAAAAAAAACCTACCATTTTCTATCTCCTCAGAGGTCCAGATTGTGATCATCAGTCTGTCACTAATAAATGAACTACTACATCTGTCTTTATATAAAATACTAGGAACATAAAATAGTGTCCTTAATTAGTTACCATGATATAGCAGATGTCATTTCATACAGAGCTACAGTCATGAGTACCAGGGCCGGGGGTCACCACTTGATCGGCTGGGCCTTGCAGTAAGGACATTCAGGCTGACTAGATACACAGTGCTCACAGAGGACATAATGCTGACAAGGCTGCAGGACGATGCTACGATCATGTTCATGGCACACGACACATTTTTTTGAATGAAGTTGAAAGATTACCTGTAGTAACAAGAATGATTTTCCAGAAGAGATTTTAGAATATAGTATGTCTCTCATCAATCATACTAATAATTTCCGAACCCAATGCACAAGCTTCTCTCAGAGTATTTATTCACTACATTTGATAAGCATTACCTGAAGGTCAACTATGTTATAGATCCCCATGCTGGGGACTGGGGAAGACAGAAATAAGCTTAAATCATAGTTCCTGCTTTCAAGGTACTTAGACTTCCTGAAGGAGGTGCTGCACAACTGATAAAGTTTAGCAAGGCAGACGAAGTCCAGCCAGGGCATGGAGGTAATGATGAATAAATAAGGTGCAGTTAGGGAAGAAATTGAGAAAACCCATATGGTCAAAGAAGAGAAATCATAATGGGAAAGAAAACTACTCTGTTGAATTGGCTGCAAATAATGAGGACAATCTTTTCTACTGATAAGCAGCATGTTAAAAATTGACCATATACAGCACTCTTTGCTTCAAAGGACTTTCAAATGAATTCAGAAATGCCAGTGACAGAAGTGATCAAAGCACTCCTTTCCAGAGCTCCAACTTCATGCCTGACAATCGACCAGGCCTTGGGGGAAGTCCTTGACTCTAAGGTCTCCTGTAATTCCTAGTCTCACTAAACACTCTGAATCTCCCCTTCAAATCCCAAAGATTCTCGACTGTTCCCCCTTGCCAGCCACCCGAGATGCCTTCAGGCTGATCCTCCTCCCCCACTTTTGTGCCTGCTGCCTGCTGCCTCACCTTTGGCACAAACTCTGCAGGATACAGGGAGATCCTGGGAGAGTCCAGTCTTGCCAAAGCCAGTCCTGTGGATCCACTGCCAGCATCCTGCTACCTCTAAAGCCTCCACAGACACTGTCCCCCCTGCTCTGCTGAAACAAAGGGAAGAGGGTGGATACTTACCCCATCCACAGTTTCTAAATCTAAACGTAGCTGACTTTGTAATGAATGCAGCTTTGGTAAAGGGATGGTTTCTATGTCTCCATAGCTTCTCAGAACAGGAAATTTAGAGGATAAACCAAGCCTTTCAAACTCTTCCTGTAGCCGTTTAAATTTATTTTCAACTTCTTCCTTCTTCTGTAATGCTAGCTGTTTGTCAGTATCTGCTACTTTAGCACGTTCCTTTGCTTCATGGGCCTCTCTCTGCCATGCATCACAAGCCTGAAATAAATATGCAGACAACTTATCCAGAATGTCTGAACACAGACCGAAAAGAAAGAAAAATATTGCATCTTTAATGGATATTTATAACAGACAGAAAACACATGAGTGCACAACTTATGTGAACCTCACAGATGAATAAAAGACTAGTTATCATGTCAGCCAAGAACAAACCCCTACTACTTTTCAATATTAAGGTAACCCTCAAAACTCCAAACTTTGTTTCTCTTTTGTTCATTACCTGTTTTACTTGTTGCCAAGAATCTTCCCACTGTTTGATTTTTCTCTTGGCCTCATCAAGTTCCCGCCTGACTCGAGCTAATTCGCTGCCATGAGCACTTGAGTTTGCTGAAGGGCCAGTTCCAGTGCTCAAAATAGGGGAAGGACTAGGAGAGAAACTCCCAGTTACAAAATCCCAGATGCTGCCATTGACACCATTTAAACCTGTCAGCATTTAAGAAGGAAATGAAGTAAACACACTTTTGTAAGTAAATACAAATTTGTGTAGAAAGTTAATTTAGATCTCAGTCAACAATATGAAGATTTAATATGAAGATTAAATTATGTGTTTACAGAGAAAATTTGATAAAATATCTTAAAGTACAATTTCTGCTGCATCTTGTCTAACTGCTGAGGGAATTTATAACCCCACTGTCTGATATTCAAAGCAGAAACCCAGAGCTAATTAATCTTTAAAATATGAAACCACTAATTTGTATATCAAGTAGATACCTATGATATCACCTACGAGCCAATTCCCAGTTGTTCACCAAACTTGATGATAAGAATTGAGGGGCCTTTAAATGTGTTCACCTTTATATCTCAAATCAAAGAGAGTTTAAACTATAAAATATAAAAATGATATGTCTTTCTCCACTGGGCAAACAGACAAATATATTCTGAACAGGTACAGAAACACAAAACAGTATGTGTATAGGAAAATAATGTCATGCTGGAAAAATGTCAGAGCCAAGTCTGAAAAATGCCAGACCATCAAAGGTAGGTTTGTAGGAATTTCGTATTGTGCACATATGCTGAAAACCCAGTTAAGCTTAACTGTTCTTTAAAGCCAAGTTTCCACAGCATTGTTAACTGAGTGGTATTTGCTGTATAATACAAAACACAAGAACACTTGTGACCATACATACAAAAACTCTATCTTTTAGCTTAATATCAATTTGTCACAAGAGTCTAGGTTAATAAGACACCAGGAAATAATTGTGTCATGAGCCCACGGGAAATTCACTTATGAGCAGCTCTTAGAAAGATACCAGGATGAGAAAAGGGCCAGTGTTGACTATGTACTTTGACCAAACATCCCACACCCAGGGAAGTGTGGTGACATCGACCTGAATTTTACAGCCCTGAAAAACCTTCTGAGGATGAGAGACAATGTGTAACCCATTACAGAAGAACTTTTCTCCAACCCACATGTCTTTTGAGCATCCACTGATCATCTCCCTTTCCACTAGACACAAGAAGTTATTCTTTGAATGACTTACCTAAAGAATTATGGGAAGAGGCTGAAGTGCCTAAAACATGTTCTGATTTCAAATGCTGAGGCTGCTGTTGGTGAGGAGTCATAGTGGATGGAATAAGAGGCTGAGATAATGACTGAGATAAGGAACTGAGTGGGGAGGTTGAGAGAGATGATGATGAATGCAAAGATGGTGAACGAGGAAGAGAACCTGGAATATTGACAGGAGCTGAACTTCCCAGTAACCTTTGACCTAGAGGAAAGGAAAAGAAAAAAAGTTATGACAGACTGGGCATGTAAAATAGAATCATTAGAGCACTAACACATGACTCTTCTGTGGAAGATGAACAAGTTTTTGGTGGTTATGATTAAAAAAGTACATACTACTGCACTCACTAATGGCATCTAACTTTTGAAGATTAGGTAGTGTATTGGGTCAAGTAACCAGGATAAATATGGATTCCATGTCAAGTACTGACAATCCTTAATTCCCAGACTTCACGCTCTCCCAAATAGATCTGGGGAGGTAGCCTCCAGGATCAAGAGTCCTCTTCTAGATTCCTTTTCCTTACCACTGAATGTATCAGGTCCTAACATCTCCAACTTTGGGGTATATGGCAGCCATAAGACAGAAGTGCTTGGGATGGACTAGGTATAATAATTATACAGCACTTCGTATTTTGCAGAGCACTATGTACATTATCTCATTCAATAATATATGAAGCACATCTGTCAATACAATACTTCATAAACATTTAGGAAATATGCACAGAGCCAGTGCACCAAAAACAACTGAAAAGAAACTAATCAATCTCTGAAATTAATGTTAATTGCTTCCTTAGATTCTATCTGTAGCACAACTCTCTTAGTGTTAAAACACCCAAGCCACTCAGTGATAGCAAAAGACTTCTTAGTTACAGAACTCAAATACAATTCTGGTTAGGAAGGAAATAAAGTTTTTAGCCACACTGCTTTAAAAGCATTAAGTTCTGATTTTTCCAGGTTATTTGTTGGCTTTGCTGATGATTCATTAAATATAGGTCAGGTAGGTAGAGAGGGGAAAAAAAAGTTATAGCTTCCTTTGCAAGAACACTATTTTGGAAAGTAATAAAGCTAGAGGCTTTTAGAGGTGATTAGCAATTCAATCATCATGAAATCAATGTCCAAGATATACTGATTGGTTAATAATAAGTGGTTAAAAAGTTTATATACTAAAAACAAAACAAAACAAAACAAAGAGGCAGCTGGGTGGCGAAGTGGATAGAGCACTGGCTCTGGAGTCAGGAGAACCTGAGTTCAAATCTGACCTCAGATACTTGACAGTTACTAGCTGTGTGGCCCTGGGCAAGTCACTTAACCCCACTGCCTAGCCACAAAGAAAAAAGTCCATATAACAGACAGTTAGAATAATGAATTCTGTGAAGTCACATACATGTTTTTATTTTACAAACAATTCTAACTACAGTTTCTGCAGTCTCTGAGAGGTTCCCTAATCTTCCTGCCTTCTCTTCTTCCTTGTTAAATGGAGAGGAAGCATTGAAAAAAAAGATCTGGACTGGGAGTCAAGAATCCTGGGTCCTAATCCTGGTTCTGCCAGTAATTTACTCTGTGACCTTGGGCAATTCACTATCTCTCAATTTCCTCTTTACCAAAATGAAGAGGTTAGACTGGATGGCCTCTAAGATCTCATTTAGTTCTGACATTCTCCAATCTGGGCAGCAGCTACTTTCTCTCGGATCTGACAGTGTTAGTCTTTTAGATGAAAATAGAAAAATCATGGTGACCTCTACAGAGGTCATGCTGAGGTTTGCTCTAATGAGAACAGCACATGCCTGGCTGCCCATCTGTGATGTTCCAGTGGTGTGATAACTAAGAATACTCTAATAAATGGTATATAGAAAGGGTCCTGCCTGAAGCAAGGTATTGTTATATCCTTTCCCCACTTTCATGGAGAAATGATCGAATCCCTCTATAAAAAGATGTTAAAGAGGCCTGTAGAAATTTTGGTGAAGAAACAAATGAGAGAAACTAGTAGGTGTCGAAAGAGATCTTTTTAAATAGTCTTCCATTCATTGGATTTAATTCTTCTGAAGGGGCTTGAATCAAGAGAAAATGAAAAAGAATGTCCCCTCTTATTTAGGGATGATACTATTCTAAAGGCAGAAAGATGAAGAGAGTATCATGAGACAGAACGAAAGAACTATTCTTCTGGATTCGAGTCCTATCAGAAGTCTGGTGTTTAACAAAAGAAAATACATTGAAAAAAAGAAACAAAACAAAATTCTATCTCTAGAATTAGAGGAAAATAATAGCATCATAAGACTTAAAAGATTTCATCCAGGGATTTTTAACCAGGGAATTAACTTTATTTCAACAGAATTATTTGTAATCTTTTGTATTTTATTTTATGCATTCAAAAACCTACTCTCAGAAGGGGTCCATAGGCTTCACTAGACTGCCAAAGGGGTCCATGACATAAAAACCCTAATTTAGTCCAATCTCTTTATTTTACAGATAAGAAAATTGAGATCTGGAGGGGTTAAGTAACTTGCCCATGGTCATCCAGACAATAAGAAGCAGAGCAAAGTTTTAAATCCAGGACCTAAGAATAATTTTCCTTTCTAAGAAGAAAAAAAAAAGATCCCTAAAGTAAATAAATTCATTTCTTCTATTGTGGAGTAACACACCACATAACTTTATTAAACAACACTGTTCATGCACTCTGATTAATACAGATCACTCCCTTACACAAAGAATCTTCTGTTATTGCTTAGTGGTTTTCAGCCATGTCCTATACTCTTTGTGACCCTGTTTGGGGTTTTCTTGGCAAAGATACTGGAGTGGTTTGCCATTTCCTTCTCCAGCTCATTTTACAGATGAAGAGCTGAGGCAAACAGGGTCAAGTGACTTGCCCAGAATTACACAGCTAGCAAGTGTCTAAGGCTATATTTGAACTTGGGTCTTCTTGATTCTAGGCCTGATGCTCTATCCACTGCACCACTTAGTTGACCTATAAAGAATCTAAAAAGACAGCAAATTTTTCTATGCACTCTATGGGTACCAAGTCTTTTTACCTTGGGCTTGTGGATCTCAAGGGAAGGTACTAGTGTGTTAGTCTACTATATATTGGAACTCTTCAGTTGAAAGGAACTTAAGAAACCATTAAGTTCAACCTCTTCCGTTTTACAAATTTGGAAAATGAGATCCAGATAGGTTAAGTAATTTGTCCAGGGTTACAAAGATAAATAGCATAGCCAATATTCAAACTTAACTCTCTGACTCCCCCAAACTCAATGATATTTCCACTGTACCATGTCTGTCCATCCTCCTACTCCTACCAGCTTGTATTTTATATAGGATGGCAATTCCACTAAGTACCCAAGACATCCTTCCCAACTGTAAAGACGTTTATACATCTGGATACTATACATCCAGATACATACATCCTCAGGATGGATGTCAGCAGAATGGAATCTCCTTGGCAAAGACAATTTCATTTTTGCCTTAGTACCAGCCTACACATACTCTGATGGAACTGTGATAGCATCAAGAGTATAATCGCTATCAGAATGAAACCTATGCACACCTTCTCAACACATGGAATTGAAAATAACAAAAATAAGAGATAGGAAGGATGTTTGAGGTCATACAGTCTAAAGTCTAACCCTTCATTTTGAAGTTGAGGAAACTGAAGCCCAAAGAGGTTAGGTTGACTTGCCCAAGTCCACATAGGCTAAATGGAATAGACAGGGTTGGAATTAGGTCCTCTAACTGCAAACCCAGGGATCTTGCCAGTGCTCTTCTTATTCATGTCTTCTTAAAAACCCTCCAGGAAGTCTACTCAGAGCACAAGGGATTATAAGGACATTATGTGGACCCTAAGGCTGCATGTGGATTGTCTGTCTGTTATTCCTCACCCTCCTGACATGATTAACTACCTGCTTTTCCAGTCAAAGATCTCTTTAATGACACGTTTCACAGTATTTTTGCACATAATTAGCTAATCATTGTTAATGTTACAATCTATTTATATTTACCATGCACATGTCTTTTGCCCTTTAAGTGACTTACAATTTTAATTAACAGAGATTTTGGTATTCCATCATTTGAAGCCATAAAGCACTACCAGAAGAATATTTAGATCAGTTTTTGTTTTAGGGAAAAGCTTGAGGTCACTGAAAATGCAGTGCAATTTCTTAAATGCAATCCAGCCCACTCTATCCCTCCTATTCAAGATGCTAGAACATTATTCATATAGAGTTTCTATTCAAGATGTATGTACTGAAGAGCCAGATCTACAGGTTGTCCAACTGCATATTATAGTCTGAACAAGAGGCATTCTTCTTCTACCTGGTTCTTCTTGAGTGGACAATTAGTTGAACTCTTTTCAATGACTATGAATTTTATTTAGTAGGCTTTGTGATGGTCTAAGGCTTGATGCAATCAATATAATGTCATCCATAAACAGGAGAACTTGCAGAATTTATAGAGAATCATTTTGCATTTTGTGCTGGCCATCCTCTATGACAGTGGTGATCTCCTTTGGTAAGCATACATGTCCTGTTTTATGCTTTACTTGGTATTTATTAATAATTAGAGGATAGTAAAAATTATCTCTGTTGTAGCAATCAAAGAATTTTTTATGTTCTTAATTATGTGGGGGAGGTACAATGTTAACTGCTGAATTAAACTGACATGCTTCTAGAAAAATAAAGGTCATAGAACAAAGTAGAAGAATTGATGAAAAGCATAACTTCACATATAAGAAACAGAAAACCCAGTGGGTAATTCGTAGCAAAAGAAATATCTGTTGTGTCTAAGACAAAGAACTTGTGGATAAGCTCTCAATCAGAAAGCACACACATATTCTGTGACAGCAAAGTAAGAAAACTCAAGTAGACATTTTGTAGAATCGCTGAATTTCCGAGTTGGAAGAGACTCTTAGAACATATACATGGAAAAGAATTCCTCTACAATGTGCCCAGCACAAGGAGCCATCCAGTCTTTTCCTGAAGAACTCCACTGAGGGGGACCCCACTGTCTCCCAAGGCAGTTCATCCCACTTCTGGATAGAATTCATTACTGGGAGGTTCTTCCTCATATCATGCCTAAATTTCCTCTGCCTTTTCCACACATTACTCCTAGTCACGCTTTCTGGAACCAAAAAAGAACCAGGCTAATATCTCTTCCAAATGATAGCCACTCTATTTTCATTATGTTTCTTTGAGACTTCACTCTTCATGCTAAACATACTCAGTTTCTTCAACTGATCGTTCCTTACATAGTATGAACTCAGTCTCTTTCATCAGCCTGGACACTCTTCTGAACATTCTTCAGCTTATCAATTTTACCCCCTTAAATACAGTGCCCAGAACTGAACACAATACTAGATGTGGTATAACCAAGCAGCTTCTTAGAAGCTATGCCTCTCTAAATACAGACTAAGATTTCACTGCCTTTCTTAGCTGTCATAAAAATATGCGATAAATTTAATCCAGTAGTTCCAAAACTGTCCTGTTTGTGTTTTTTTCTAGAACTTCCTTCTTCTCTCTAGAACCTCTTTACTACTACTCCTACTTAAAAAGAAAAAAAAAAACCTTTTTTGTAACAAATAAATCCATATAATGGCTATGTCTGTATGTCCCATCACTCCTCTGTCAACAAGTGGGAAGCAAGATTCATCACTGGTCTTCTGCAGTTATGTTGCTCTCTGCGTTTATAGTTTTTAAATATTCCAGAGTTGCAGTCCTTTACAGTGTTGTAGTGCTGTATAAATTGTTTTCCTGGTGCTGTTTATTTCACTCTGCACAGGTTCATACAGTTTTTCCCAGATTTCTCTAAATCCATCCCTTTCATAATTTCTTATGGTGCAATAATATTTGATTACATTCAAAGATCATAATTTGTTTGGCCATTCATTCCCCAGTTAATATGTGCCCCCTTAGTTTCCAGTTTTTTCCTACCAAAAAAAAAAAGTGCTGCTATAAATATCTGTGCATAAATGGGTCCTTCTTTCTTTGATCTTTTTGAGAGTATATGCCTAGTAGTGAAACCACTGTGACAAAGGTCATGCACAATGTGGTGACTTTTATGTTACAGATACAAGTTGCATTCCAGAATGACTGCTCCATCAACTATGCATTATTGTACCAGTCTTCCCACAAGGCCTTCAAAAATTGTGTCAGCTTTGCCCACCTGTGTACAAAACTTCAGACTTGTTTTAATTTGTACTTCTCTTACAATTAATGATTTGGAGCATTTTTTTCATATAGTGGTTGATAGCTTGTCTTTCTTCTTTTGAGAACCTATCTATTTGTAGGATTTGATCATTTATCTATTGAAAAATGTGTGGGGGGGAATTAGCCATTTATATAGTGCCCACTACATTCCAAGCATTGTGCTAAGTACTTTACAAATATTATTTGATGCTCATAACAAGCCTGGAAGTTAAGTGCTTCTATCCTCATTTTACAGTTGAGGAAACTGAGGCAAACAGATGTTAAATGACTTGCTCAAGGTCACACAGGCACTCAGTATCCGAGGCTATAATGGAACTCATGTCTTCCTGACTCAAGGTGCAGCACTCTAGTCACTGTATCACCTAACTGCCTCTTTCTTATTCTTAAATTCATAATATATTTGAATCATAATATAGTTGAACATATACAATTCCTGTATATCTTGGATATCACACCTTTATCAGAGAACTGTGCTACAAAGATTTCCCTCAGTTAATTTTTTCCCTTCTAATTCTAACTGCATTGATTTTGTGCAAGCCCCCCCCCCCCCATTGTTGGGAAAACTCCTTTCCTGATCCTGTAATTTGCTAATATCAGTAAGCTTAAGAGTATCTTTTTAGAAGTGGCTGCTGAAGAAACCTTTCTAGTGAGATCAGAAGTAAAGCAAGATGGTCCATTGTCACGATTATTATTTATATTTATATTTGTAGAAGTGCTAGCAATGGTAGTAAGACAAGAAAAGGAATGACATGATTGGAATTGTGGAAAATGATATGATGAAAATAGGCAAAATGAAAACAAAATTATGGCTTTTGGTAAATTATATGATGGCTTACTCAGAGAACCCTAAAGATTCAACTAAAAATGAACTGAAATAGTAACTTTACAAAACAGTGGGATATAAAATAAGCCCACAAAACCACTGGCCTTTCTGTATATTATTAACAAAACCCAGCAGAAAAAGAAATTCCATTCAAAATAATTACAGAATACATAAAATAATTGGGAGTTCACCTACCAAAACACACATACAAATTATTTTGGTACGACTACAAAACAGTCTTTACAGAAATAAAGATATATTTAAATAACTGTAGAGATCAACTGTTTATCATGAGACTGTGCCAAAGTAATAAAAATGACAATACCACAGAAAATAATTTACATAACAATCAAACTACCAAAGAGTTACTTTATAGAACTATGTAGAATAACACAATTCAGCTAGAGGAACAAAAGGTTAAGAATCTCAAGGGAAATAAATGAAAAAAATGGGAAGGAAGGGGGCATAGTAGTGCCAAATCTCCAACTGCTATAACGCAGCCATCAATCAAAACAATTTGGTACTGATTAAAAAAGATGTAATTATGTCCGTTTCCTGCTCAATCATCTTGAATGGCTCTTTACTGCCTCTAGGATGAAATATAAGCTCTTGAGCCTAGAATTAAAGTCTTCCATAAGCTGGTTCCAGCCAATCTTTTATGACTGAATCCAGATTACACTCCTTTACATACTCAAAACAAATCTGGTCTACTTATTATGTGCCAAACTCAACATTTGAATCCTACCTTTGTGACTTTGTACACTGTCCCTCAAGCGTAGAATGTATTCACTTCCTCACCATTAACTTTAAGAATTCATAGTTTTGTTCAAGGCTCTACTCAGGTATTATCTCCTATGGTAATAAAAGTCTTTCATCATTCTCTTTGTTAAGGCTTACTCATTCCTCAAAACTACCTTGTATTTACTTATCTGTGTATATTATTATAACTCTCCAATAGAACATAAGCTCTCGAGAGTATGGGCTATTTTTCTCATTTTTAGTTTGTGTCCCTGGCAGCTAACACAGTGTGCCTATACATGGTAAGGACTTAATAAATGGTTGTCAAATTATATCACTCGTCAAACTGAAAGACCTATGGAATTTTAGTTATTTATGTTAAAATAATAGTGATATGAATTAGTTCACTTAACTGACTGTTATCTAGGACAAAAAACTCACCCTTTTTTCCTTTATCATCCTTCTTAAATGGCTACTCTTTTTTCCAATTCAACTCTGAAATTCTTTCTCTCCTTATTGTCAACTCTGTTATTAACTGGACAGAAAAACAAAGCTTCCTCATCTACTGGCCCAGATTTAATAAGACACCTGCATTTGTGAGTGCCAAGATCAGATAAGAAGAAAGGACCTGAGATTCTATTCTGCAATTACAGAGCAGAACTTAATCCCCAGGTTAGCCTATAAGCCTGGGGTTGCTATTCTTCTAGGAACTGGAAGGCTTAGGGAGACAAATTTTACTTTTTTGCAGAATTGCTGGTTTTGTCAGATGCTTCACAGGCTCTGGAAATTGTTGCTGTCCCACAGGCCAGTATACTCTGAACATTGTAACTTTGCTGCTGGTAGAAAAATGAAGATCTCTCTGGCTACAGCTCCGTGACTTTCCTTGATGTGCTTCTTGACTTCTTAATCAAATGGAGACCAGAGCTGACTGTGACAGGGTATGAAACAGAGTCTACTTTCTGCTATTTCTATGTGGTCTAAAGACTGTAACTAATTTTTACGGACTTTCATTTCTCATAATTCCTGTTTGCCCCCAACTTTACCATCCCCCACCCCCTGAAAAAAGCTGCAGGGAAATTATAAACTCCATGGTGCCTCAACACTTTTGTTTTTGTTGTTGAGTCATTTCAGTCATATCTTAGTCTTTGTGATTCCATTGGGAGTTTTCCTGGCAAAAATGATGGAGTGGTTTAACATTTCCTTCTCCTGCTCATTTTATAGATGAGGAACTGAAGCAAACAGGGTTAAGTGACTTGCCCAGTGTCACACATCTACCAAGTGACTAAGGCCACATTTGAACTCAGGTCTTCCTGACTCCAGGCCCTGCACTCTACTCATCATACCACGTAGCTGCCCTATCATACTAAAGTTGAAATAGAAGGAATATACCTTTACAGCTGGTGCCAGTAAAAGCTAGAATTTTGGCCCTTCGTAAGTATGGCTAGACATCCCAAGCAGCCATACTCCTTTAATGGGAAGGGCAGCAACAAGTGATTAAAGAAGTGAGTGAAGAAAATGATAGTATTTGGTTAGAAACAATGCAACAAAAGGGAAGAGTAGAAAGTCTGGAGGGAGCAAGAGTACAGAAGATGCAAAGATGCTGAGAAAAATAAGGGAGAAGAGGAGGTAGAAGGTAAAGAAAAATGTGATAACTGGAAGAAAAAAAAAAGGAGGTTCAAAGAGGGGGATGGGAAGAATCTGATTTTCCATGCACATCAAACATACATCACCCATCAATGTTGGGAAAAAAGATGAGAGCTCCATCCAGAGGGAAAAAAGATAACATTGAAAAACCTATCACATTAGACTACAATAAGAACAATTCTTAAAAAGAACAATTCTTACTTGTTAATCCAAGGTCACTGGTTTCTTGATCTTCTAGTTCTTTATCTAGGGATGCAACATTTATATCACTAAAATGTAGATCTAAAGCAGAACCTGTTAAACAAAATATCACATTACCTACAACACATCTAAGCCATTTATTAAAAGGCTGTGTTTACTCTATTCTTCAAAGGATTTATAGGAAGATTACTTTCTACAATCAAATGTCACACAAAAATAAACTCCTTGTGTCCCATATAGAAGCTTGTTTTTAAGGTTTTTAAGATGGTGAGAAGCCATTAATCTAAAAATTATGGAATTAGAGAATATGGGAAAACTTGAAGAAAAAAACAAAACTCTGTTACTTACTTGATAATTGATTCAAAGGCATCTCCCTTAAACTGATCTCGAGAAAATCTTCTCAAAACCCAGCTTATCTAATACATTTGAAGAACTGAACTTAGGCAATGTAAAAACGGGCCCATAATTTTTCTTTAATCAGCTTTCAATTCCATTAGAAAGTCAGCATTTTCCTCTCCCCAACCAACAAAGGCAGTGAAGCCAAGCACTTAACATGATAAATTTGTAAATATATTCATCTCACTGAGGATATGATCCACCTAACATTTCACATTTCTCATCATTTGCTGAAATGTTGACCATTTAATGCGTTCCAAAACTAAACGTTATTTCTAGTACATGATTCCAATCTAATGTGTTTTCCATCACATCTGCATAAAAAATAAGTAGTAGTGTTACTCATGCAAAAAAAATGTTAAAACATTGCTACCTTATTAACCATTAACTTAAAGATTCCTGAAAGATTCCTGAAAGTGCCTAAAAATTAAATCAAACATTGTTTTACATGCAAAAAAAATTAAAAAGAAATGTAGCTATCTTGTTACTAACTCTTCCTGCAAAACGTCTTCTTTGGAACTCTCACCTTCCTTTTCCATTTTCAGGGTTACCAACGTTTTCTGGGCTCCCATCAACAAAGTTTGCATTATAGTAAACATAGTTAGCTCCTCTAGCTTCTCTCCACTTAAACTCATTCTGCACAGACTAAGAATATTCTTTCTAATATTTGTTATCACATTATTGTCTTCCAACCTAAAATAGTTCCCCCATTGCCTGCCACATCAATTTCAGTTTCTCCACCTGGTGTTATTTCCTTATGCTCTTCAACATGAACCTTCCCCTCTAATCAGAATGGTCTCTATACTGTTCACCACAAAAAATCATGCTCATTCCTACTTTTGTGCTTTTGTTCATTCTTTTATCCTTTACCCAGAATCCCTTCTTTTCCACCAACCCAAATCCTATGCTTACTTCTTGATCTCCCATCCTCCAAGATTCATTCTACCTCCTTCCATGAAGCAGTCTTTTTTGACTACTCTAAGTTCACTGTGATCTTTGCTTTTCTATGAATTCCTAGAGCAATGGCACTGTATACTACACAATTCAACACAATCACATATAGCCTTAAATGATTCTTTACGTTTCTCATTCAGTTCTGTTGTGTTTTCCCAATAAAACCATAAGATTCCTGCAATCAGGAACCAGGAATCCTCTTATATCACTTGTAGTATCGATATCTATCCAAGGGCTGGCCAGCCAGCAAGCCTGTAATTAGCAGTAGACTTGAGTTGGGGTATTCTCCATTTAAAACAAACTTGCTTTTATACTGTGAGATTCAGTTGATATGGTGGCTCAGTTTTCCTGAACCACTTTTTAAAAAAATTCCTTGTTACAGCTTGCTGGATATGTAATGGCTATGTTAACAGCCTATGTAATGGCTTGTTGCATATGGGATAGGCGAGAGAGACATTCTGAAATAAAAGATGATTTTTTTAAAAAAATCAATTTTTAAAAAACTGTTTTACAAAATTTTCTACTTAAAAATTGAGCAAGCTAGAACCAATATTGTTTGGTGCAGCCATGGACATAAAATAATTCAGACTGCAGATACTGGTACAAAGTGGAACATTATAGCCTGGTCTTTTAGATGTTGTAAATTCCCCAAAAGAGCAAAGTAAAATCTTAGAATCTGTGGGTGTACAATTATAGGGTTAGTCCAATATATAAGGAGAGAAAGGGAGCAGGGAAATACTCAAAGTACTACAAAAGCACATACTACCACAGCTTCTAGCATTGCTTTGGCTGGTTACCCTTTCCTGACCAAAAATGTCCAACTCAGTCTACTAGAAGATGTTTTATTTTCTGTGGAAAACATCTCTGATTTTATTTTACCATATATGTTAATGAGACTTTACAGAGCAGAATTACAGATTTCCTACTTTTAGTTACCTCAGAATATCCACCCCGTAAAGTGACAATGACATCTATTTTTCCTGGGCTAGGAAATAAAACTGGAGGAAGATAACAATATTCCTAACCTAAGGAATGGGTTGTTCCCCCTAGAGCAGGGATTCTTAATCCTTATTTTGTGCGATGGGCTCTCTCTGGCACTGTGAACCTTATGGAGCTCTTTACAAAATAATGCTTTTAAATCCATAAAATAAAATGCATAAGATTATAAAGGAAACCAACTATGTTAAAATATAGTTTTCAAAATGTTTAAAAGACAAGTACATGGATTCCAGTTTAAAAACTCCTGGTCTAGACATAACATTTGGAAATAAAGTACTTTCAAATTATCTATTAAAATCACATGGCTAGAACAGACCCTGAGAAAGCATAGAGCATTTTTTCTACAAGATGGTATTCAAACCAAACCAGAATAAGAAATGTCCCCTTTCCTCCTCTTTTCCTAATCATCTCCAGAGAAGATGCCTCCACAATTGTCATTATTTATAGCACATCACATCCCTGAGTCAGCTCACTCTTGATAGTTTCTAATCTCCTGCTCCAATTTTTCCTCAAAGACAGAGGCTAATTATTTTACTAGACTTTTTTTTTTTGACAATTAGTTTGGAATGGCTTATGACAATGTTTATTAGTTTGACAGAAAACCAGAAGATTAAAACAGAGACACATCTTTTCTGTAAATGTAGTATGGATTGACCATGACACATATACCGTTATCCATTTTTTTCAATCCCTTAAAATCTTTTATACTGGAGAAAATTACTAAACAAAGTAAGAATAAAGAATGGGGAGAACAAGGTCAAAATAAGAAAAAAAAAAAAAAGGTCCTCCATGTTAAGACTGACTTCAAATAGCTTATCCAGAAGTCTCTGGCTAGGAAATTACCTCACTCTGTTCTATAATCAAGTCTAAATAAGGTATTCTTATAGGAAGGACATGACACAGCTTCTATAAAAGTATTCAATTACAGGGCAAGGCTTTCCCTCCAGGTTTTAACATTAAGGATTTATTTTATTTTTTCTTTAGTGTCCACAAATTGTTATTTTTTCTAGTCTCAATAATTTTTTAAAAATAATCTTCTCATGATCTTAGCTTCAATTTGATAAGCATTGAACACTTATAATGTATCTAGTATTACTAAAGAAGAATACAAAAGAAGTGAGACAATGCTTCCTGAGATAATGTATATGAAAGGCTACCTGGTGGTGTGGAGAGAATATAGAATGTAGAATTTAGAGGACCTGGGCTATAGAATCCTGTCTTTGAAATTTATAAGCTATGTGACTACTGGCCAATCTCAGCCTCAAATTCCTCATCTGCAAAATGAGCATAACGGGAGCACCTAGGTGGTGCAGTGGATAGAGCACGGGCCCTGGAGTCAGGAGGACCTGAGTTCAAATCCAGCCTCAGACACTTACTTGTCTTACTTAGTGCCTTAGCTGTGTGACCCTGGGCAAGTCACTTAACCCCCATTACCTCCAAAATTTAAAAAAAAAAATGAGGATAACAGCTATAGCATTTACCTCACAGTACTGTGGTGAGACTCAAATAAGAAAATAAATGAAGTATCTTGCAATCTTCAAGGGCTATATGTTAGTCATTAATATTACTATAAATTAATTTTAAATCTTAAAACACTATATGAAAATTATATAAAGTAACAGACAACAAAAGACAGAATATTGTCCTATATTAAGAATATATTTATATTAAGACTGGGAGATGAGATTTTTCATGTAGAAGGCAAGTCTTAAACTGAATTTCAAAGAATAGGATAGAATTCAGATTAGCAGAACATAATGGTATGATTTTTAAATACAACTTCCACTTATCAAAACTGTAACAAAAATATTTAATGGGTTTGTTTTATCAGTGTGAGTATCTGTTCCATCAATGAAGCACACTAACCTTTCATGCCTTTTCATCTATGCTACCCTAATCTATGAATGCTCATAAGCATTCCAAATAAAGATTCCACCCATCTCGCTCTAGGGAGTCCCATGATTCTTTCAATATCTTAAAGTTACCAATGTAACACTCAGGATGTCCATTTATTGTTTCTTATTCTCATTAAAGGTCAGTCTACCTCTTTTTATCTTTTTTTTTCTTATTCTGAACTTTACACCAAAAAGGGAGCATTTCCACAAACAAAGTAGAACATACCAAGACGCCTATATGTGAAACCATGAATTCCATGTCGCTTGTTTAAAAAAATAAATGTGTATATATATAAAAAAAGATTCACCACTGGGCAGCTAGGTGGTACAGTGGATAGAGCACCAGCCCTGGAGTCAGGAGGACCCAAGTTCAAACCTGGCCTCAGACACTTGACACTTACTAGCTGTGTGACCCTGGGCAAGTCACTTAACTCCAACTTCCTCGCTGCCTCCCCCGTAAAACAAATGTTCAGGCATTCTCTAACTGATAGGTACTCCCTTAGTTTCCAGTTCTTTGCCACAAAAAATTGCTACTATAATTTTGTATGGTGAATCCTTTCCCTTTTTACTTGATCTCTGTGGGATATAAACCTATTATTCCTGGGCCAAAAGTTATACACAGTTTTGTGACTTTTGAGTACAGCTGCAAATTACTTTCCAGAATGGCTGGACCAATTCAGACATCCACCAAAAGTATTAGTAGTTTAATTAACTAGTAGTAAACTATTAGTAGTTTAATTCCCTTTTCACATATAATCTCAATCAAATCTTTTATGCCATTCCTCACATGGATGTTATAATTGATGATATGCTAAAACTAACTTTTGCCTACTATGTACATTTCAGGTT